CCTTGCTGCTGTGAGTCTTGTTTCGCATGAAACCAGCCACCGTGATGGCCTCCAACCTACCCTGACTTACTTTACCCTGGTACCTTAGGTTTTCACTTAGGCTGGCGTGTGGCGAACCGCATCAGTGTCCCTACACAATATCTCAAGTGTGTGTAAAAGCCGCGATCACAAGCGACAACTGACTTTACAGATGCACAGTAGATTGTACATGAGTAGATGTGATGTAAGTGCCGGGGAGCGGTGGGCATTCTTGAAGTCATCGCTCAAGGAAAACATTTCAAGTTTGCTGTGATATGCAATCTGGACGCGGGATGCACGCACGGGATGATCGCCACATATTTCTTCTTTGGCCCCATGTACCGTGTATAACTAAAACAAAAACTTTGGCCATTGCGTCCGTGTGAGTCAGCAGTCACACATTGGGTTTTGGAACTTTGCACGTTCAGAGTCTCAACTTGGAACTTTTCAACGTTCCGGTCATGATCAGACTGCTTTACACATGTTCAACCTTGGTATTCCTTGGTTTTTCGGTCGTTTTGGCTTTCCTAGAGCCCTCTACAGAATGTAACTTCATGGACTTGAAAGATTTGAATCTTCGTTTTTGGAGATATTTGTCGCTCAGACGGTGTCGCTGCTCGTGCACCTGTACGTAGACTGTGGAGTCAGGAGGTTCCACTCAGAACTTTCCACATCGTTCAATCGTTTTACTCAATAAACCTACCCAGTGTGTGTGCTTGTACGGCCGTCGAACCGAATGTGTTGCCATGACCGGTTGGCGGCGCAACTGCGTGACTTTATGGATCACTTTGTGGGCCACGGCCGAGGTTTGCTCATGCCCTGTCAGCCGGATGGTCTCAGCGCGCTCGGACGGCCGGAGTTTGAATGTTTGGTAGTGGAGGGCCAGGGTCGAACTTGGTGATTGTTGCAGGTGCTTCGAAAGCAGATGCCCAGGCGTTTCCCGCGAGATTGTTTCACATGCACCGCAGCAAGGATTTTGCAAGGCCAAACAATATTGTTCACCGTTGCTGTTGCCAAGTGCAGGTCCCCAAGCAGCAGCCAGATCAATCAGAAGATATTTGTGAAACTTCGACTGAGGCCTTTTTAGTGCATGTGCTATGCAAATATCTTCGAGTATCTCTGCCTACTGCAGGTTTGGGAGCATGAGATCCACCCAGAGTTGGAAAGTGTTAGTCAGGAGGACTTGTGCAAATTTTCGTTTGTCACGTCGAGGTGAGTCGAGGTGGAGTGGTCAGGGTTGGTCCTGCAGGAGAACAATTGGAGTGTGCCTGCAAAGCCACTGAAACAATCCCGACCCGAGGCATTTAAGCAGGCGTGTGGGGTGTTGCCAACCAAACAATTGAGTTGTGTGCCTCTTCATATGTGATCAGGCACTGACGCCTGGCCTGGTAAGTGCTGCTGGATCATCTTGGATGTTCCTTGGCGAACGAAGCTGAACATAGCGGCATGGCAGGGAAAACTGAAAACACAGAGGTTTCGATCAAGTCATCACCGCAAACCCATCCTCACGTCTCCCACCAGAGAACCTCCACAGAGAAATGAGGTTTTGTTTCCAACGCAATGCCGTTGAGCCATCAGATTGAAGTTCACCATAGCCAAGCACATTGGAGGAACTTGCGTGTTATTTCATGTTATTTCCTTCCCTGGGGCAAAGATTGAAGAACTTGCCAAACCCTCGAGCAACAATAGGAGGGGCCAGTGTCCACCTTGTGTTTAAGGCGACTTGATTTCGCGTGAGCGACCCAAGGATCCACGGTCTCTTGAGAGATGATTGTTTGCAAACCCGCAAACCCTCAAGGAGTTCCATCACAAGGAACCGTTTGGTAGGCAGGTCTGTTGCCCGCGCGTTTTGGTGGAGGAACCTCCAACTTAAAAGGTTTCTTGGGTATCTTTTGCATAACAGTGGGATTGATTGCGGAACACAAACTCAAGAGAAAGGGTTTCCAACTTCACGGGGCAGTCCCTTTACCCCAGATGATTCGTTTTCGTGTTCTGTGGAATCTCAAGGTTCCAGCAAACCACCGCCCCAATGCCTGTGCGATGTCCACAGGCACTGCAAAGAAAGAGAACATTTGATCCAATGGATTTGTTGATTGGTTCACGTTCCCATTTGCGCAGGTTGGTGCACCCACAGCTTTCTCCATTCCACGTGTGATGTCGCCGTTGGTTGCGCCACCTCAGCTCCAAGCGCCGATGATTCGGGAGGCGCGCTTTCCATCACTTACCACATCTTCACAGTCGAACAGATTCATCTTTTGCAGGTCACTGCACCACCACCACCGCAACAAGCGCCCTCATTTCCACCTTCGGTGTTTTCCCAGGCAAGCATTCTTTACTAGCCACTTTCCTGAGTCTTGTATTCAGTAACGGGCTTTGGAGTTCAGGTTCCCATACCACCAGCTCCGCAGCGTGCCCCGTCGTTTCCATTCTGCAGGGAGGCAGTGTGCAATTCCGAAGTTGAACAGTGCAACTTGTTCAAGAAATCAAACTCCATAAAATTTCAATATGGTAGCTTGTGATGCTGAAGAGCTTGTGATGTTTCTTAGTGCTAGTACCGTATTGATGTGGCTGGATGGAGAGGTTCCGTAATGAGACACAACCCCCTACATTCCATCACATTCCCCAGTGATTGTGGAGGAGATTGGCAGTGAGAAGTGTCCGTCTGTTGGCACCCTAGCTAGCCTCTAATCAAATCTCTTTCTGAAACTAGATTCTCCCAAGCTGACAACCCTAGGTCGGATCAATTGACCACGAACTTGGCACATGTAAGCCCTGTGCATTTGTGTTCAAGAAGAACGGGAAGCAGGCATTGCGGCATGTTGAAGCAAATCAACGACCTCGAGTTCAAAAAACAGAGCTCGAACAAGTGACAGCAGTTTGCACTTGAATTGTGCTTCCAGGGCTGCGACAGTGGAAAAGACTGCAATTTTTGTCATCTTTGCCCTCCAGGCCTATCATTGTCATGACCAATGATGTACAGTTTTGCATAGTTTTGCACGAGCAACGCTTGTCAAGCAGGTGAAAAAAAGCGTCGTCGAAGAGGCCTAATTGAGGCTAGTTAGACCATACCTCCGAGGACAGCGGGACAGAAGTGCACCATTCTAGCCGACTGAGACAATTGTGTTGCTTCCTTTTTTGGCATCGTGACATGGCTTGGATGTCTTGATCAACAGGAGATAGGTAGCACCTGAATCTTTCGGGGAGCATCGCATTGTGAGCGAATCCTTGCAAACACTATTTAACTGCAACATTCGGGCTGGCAGCGAGCTCAGCACTGAAAATGTTCCAGTTTCTAGAATTGACAGCCTGCAACAGCCTGCTCGGGGGTGCAAGTTGGCAGAAGGTGTCATGTTTCAGCCCGGAACTATAATGAACTCTCTCTCTATATATATATGTATACATACTTATTTTTTTTAGTTTGTCAAGCGACCCCGCAAAAGCAGTTTCTGTGAAGGCAAGCTTGTATTTTGCAAGCGCTTAATCAAGATCAGGGTTTCACAGTTTGCCGTTTCACCGCTTTATGGCTGCTGTCACGTGAGCACAAAGGCGGACTCATGGACACATGCAGGAATTAGTTCGCAATAATTCGGGACGCTTGGCCAAGCCAACCGAAACCTACAAAGCGACCTAGCTACCTAGCTTCCTAGCGGCCTAGTGGGATAGTCTCGATCAGCAAAAGATTTGGTGCGTTTGAGTTTATGCAAGGAAGCAATGATCTTCCATGCCAAGAGCCAAGAAATCAGACACGTTGAACATGTTTCAGATAGCAAACAATCTCAAGCAATTGGGGCTGTATTGCAAAGTCACACTGCACATTGTGACTGCTTTAGGTGGATTTCGATTGCTGATTGGCTACATTTGCGATTGAGTCCTCAAATCTGCCCTCGTGTGTGCAAAGGCAATCGTGGACAATGGATGAAAATGGAAGATCATCTGGTTTAGAGATTGCTGGTCCCTTTTCAAACCAACCCAAAATCCACGGGCCTAATCAATGGAAGCTTGCCCCTTGTAGCAGTCAAGGCGCAGACAGGAAAGTTGCATGTATCATTTGATATATCAGCAATGTGAATCCTTGCGCAAGCCTTTGTCAAAGTCTAAAGCAAGGATGTTCTGCTGGAGTGTGCTGGCTTGGCAAGTGCCTGCTAAGAGCAAAGCGAGCATCCAGTGTTCTGGATGTTGGTTGGCTGCTGGCAGCCAAGCTAATTGGCTGAAGGTGGTTGATTTCGATAAGCAGAGGTATTCGACGTGGCACTCTTCTGCAAAATGTTCCAATGTGATCGGATTGCTTGAGGGAACTGGAGCGTTAATAGCTCAGCATCGGCTTCAATAGTCAATGTAGTAAGTTTGAAAGGGCAAAGGTTTCCAATTGCAAGCTCCAAATGACAGTTTCGCTGGCCTTGCCGTGTACGGAACCAGCCCGGAACAATCATCATCAAGTCTGCTTCTTCACCTTATTGCCTTTGTCCTGGCTCAGCTTGATTGGAACAACATCCTTCCTACCTTTGACGTAGATGGTAGCAGGACCACTGACTAGGTATCCCAAGCCAAAAGATGGATTGCCTGGGCAGTTTGGCTGAAAGTAGCGTGGTGCTATTTCCAGTAGTCTTCTTTCACGGACATGGACAAGTACAGTAAATTGAATCCAGATTCATCCTTAGACGCTCACTCCTTCGTCAAAGATGGGCACAGGGCCTGCACCAAACCTTCACTCCGAGCGCAGTGGTGTGTCATAAACTGCTCCGCTATTGGATACCTGACATGTGCTCCAAGGGGTTGACATCAGCTTGGACACTGTGCGGCCTGCGCTGCAAACCAGATCTTGGACCAAATGCAGCGAGTTCTGATCGTTTAGGGCTTACCCCCCGCCTTTGCCATGCAAGTTTGCATCTTGTAGGCTTCTTGATCAAAAGAACATGGAAGAACTGAGAACTATTGCATGAATTCTGGGTCTGGTTGTTAGAGCCACGGCTGTAGATTTGTAGCTAAGCCCATACCATCTTGTGGACGGGATGCCTTTGGGATTCTGCAGCCCCATGGTCGCTTCAGAAGTGACTTTGCACATGGAATGATCTATGAAAAGGCGGGTCATGTGCAACGGTGGTTTGCTTTGTGCTATAGTCAAGTTTGTTGATAGAATTGCTGTTGCCTGACCTTGTCAGCCAGCGGTGATCATCGACAACGGTTCCGGGCACGTCAAGGCCGGGCCGCTTCTGCCATACACTCGAATCAGCACCCAGTGTCACAACATACTCCCAACCTTGGGAAATTACTGGACAGGTGGAGATCGTCTCTCAAAAATTTTCAAGTACTGTAAGTAAATTATACCGGCGAAGACTCCAAGCAGTTTGTGCGTTTGTGAAGTAAGCCACAAAGACGAACTGTCAAACAGTCGACGGCTCAAACCGTTCCAGCTCGCGGTGATCAACTCGGACCTTCTGGGCTTGTTTCAGCACTTGGCTCAATTGGCTCAAGGTCAGAACTGGCAAATCAGACGAAAACAGAACATACGCAAATCTACTGAATATGCCGAGTTGTACGGACATGTGGGAGACAAGCAGGGGGACAAGTGGAGTGGAGACAAGTGTAACAAGTAGGCCGAGACAAGTGCAGACAAGTGAAGCAAAAGGGAGACAAGCAGGGAGACAAGTGTAAAATCATCCGTCCGTCCGAGAGCGTACAAACAGGGAGACAAGCAAAGAGACAAGTGGAGACAAGTGTAAAAACATCCGCCCACGTGCGTCCAGAGTAGGCCGAGACAAGTGGGGACAAGTGCAGCAAGAAGGGAGACAAGCAGGGAGACAAGTGGAGACAGGTGTAAAAACATCCGGCCAAGTGTATCCGGAGAAGACAAAGGAAACATCAGCCGAGGAACGCTCACGCGGCCCAGGCGACCTAGAGCGGGCTGGGAGACAAGTGGGGAACAAGTGTAAAATCATGCAGCCGAGTGTGCTGGAGACGAGTGGGAAGCAAATTCACGCGCGGCCAGAGGACCCAGAGTGTACTGGAGACAAAGAGATAAGTCGGAGATTACACCACCGTAGACCCCAAACAGTTTGTGTTTTTCAAAAACGAAACTAGAGCTTGCGAAGTCCAGAGCTGGGAGACAAAGGATTGCAAGGCAGGCGGCCACAGCAGCCCAGAGCTGGGAGACAAATGTAATGTAAAGGATTGCAAAGTACAGAGCGGGCGGACACATCTTAAGAAAGAATTGAGAAGCCCTAACAGTAAACCTTTTGGGGAATTATTCTTCAAGTGCGAACATGATGCTGGTCATGGTGCTCAATCAGCGGGGAGCTGACCACGTGAGGACAAGAAATAAAAGTGTGAGGAGCGAAGGATGTGACATGAAATTGATTTTTGGTGCCTGACGTATGTCCTCCGTCCCAACTGAACAGAGAGATCGCTGCCACGCCGCCGAAATCCAATCTGGTCATTCATCCAACGCTTGCCCGAAAAGGAAACAGAAAGGAGCGCTCTGAGCGGCGCGTTTTTGCATTGTTTCATTTTGTTTGTATTGCGTTTCTATATTTGTATTGCGTTTCTATTGATTTTTGTGCCACTGAAAGAATACTATTCTGCCTCAACCCCCCCCTCCCCCAAAGGCAATTTCCAAAATTCCAATTTTCCAAAATTCCAATTTTCCAAAAATTATACCGGCATAGACCCCAGATAGCACTTCAAGAAAAGGATAGCATGGCAAGAGCGGGAGACAAGCTTGGGAGACATTTCACTCAAAGCGGGGAAAAGGATGGAAAAGGTAAACAAGACCTAATCATCATATAACAGCATCCGCATCAAAGGCAGGCGAGAATATGACAAGGCGGCAGCGGCAGCCAAGAGCGAAATCAGGAACAGAGACAAGCTTGGGAACCACGGCGGCAGCGGCAGCCAAAAGCGAATCACGAAGGGAGACAAGCTTGGAAGACAAGCCGGCAGAGGCAGCCAAGAGCGAAATCGTGAAGGGAGACAAGCTTGGGAGACAAGACGGCAGCGGCAGCCAAGAGCGAAATCATGAAGGGAGACAAGCTT